CCCCTGGCAGCCTGATTACCCCTAACCACCTCTGTCTGCCAGCCTGATTGCCCCTAACTGCCATCCTGGTCACCGCCAACTGCCCCCCACCACTCTGGTCACTGCCAAATGCCGCCCCCCCTTCAGGTCTGGTTCCCCCTCTCTTTTCCCCTCTGCTGGCCTGGTCACCCCTCACTACACCTCCCCCCCACACTAGCCTGATCGCCCCTCACTACACCCCCCCACCAGCCTGATCGCCCCTCACTACATCCCCCCACCAGCCTGATCGCCCCTCACTACACCCCCCCACCAGCCTGATAGCCCCTCACTACACCCCCCCACCAGCCTGATCGCCCCTCACTACGCCACCCCCACCAGCCTGATCGCCCCTCACTACACCCCCCCACCAGCCTGATCACCCCTCACCACGCCACCCCCACCAGCCTGATCACCCCTCACCACGCCACCCCCACCAGCCTGATCGCCCTCACCACGCCTCCCCCACCAGCCTGATCGCCCCTCACTACGCCACCCCCACCAACCTGGTCGTCCCTCGCTAACCCTGCTGCCGGCCTTGTCGCCCCACACAGCCTGCTGTTTGGTTGTTACTGTCGTGGCGTTGTGACCTTTCTGCATATTACCCTTTTATTAGTGTAGAGTTTTTAAAGTCTGGAGAAAACTAGGGATGAGCAGATCGGCGCTGGCAGGGTTGAGGGATGAGGGGTGGGGACAGGTAATGACGGAAGGGTGGCCCAGGGAGGTTTCGGCGGTGATGGGAGAGACTGCTGTGGATCCTGGCTGTGGGGACCGCACAGTTCACAATTACACGCTGCGCCCCAAAAAAAGTCCATTCTACTGTACGAAATTTTAAAAATTTAGAAAGATAATGCAAAACTAATAACTTAGTTTTTTTCACAATGAGCACGCGTTACTTGTCATTATTCTACTTCTAAAACACGTACGTCCAGTCTGATTGCAGAACATAAAGCAGCCATCCCTGACTTATTCTTTTCTTTTTTTTCCTGACTTATTCTTAATGAACCCAGGGCTCCTGAAGGAAAACCTCCCAGCAGACGCAGCTCTCTCTGGGGCTCTGGAGACAGAGCTGATGGTGCAGAATCCTCCTCAATACAAGACGGCTGAAATAAGTGAATCCTCGGATCACACACACAAGTAACGAGGGACATCGCTGTTATTTTCTCACCATCAGAACCATCTCTGTAATTTTCTCACCATCAGAACTCAGATTGTCAGCAGAGCAAATGCACCAGCTTCTCTACGAGGGCTGCTCCGTAAAGAAAAACCACAGCCCTCCTGGGTGACACGTTTAACTGGATTCACTCAAGTTGTACCGAAGACCACAGGAGCTGTTAGGCATGTCACCCTGATCCTCCCGGAATTTGTCCCAAATCAAGAGTCGGCAAACTTTCTCTGTAAGAGGCCAAAGTGTAAACACTTGCAGGCCACGCAGTCACAAAACCCTCTGCAAGGAGAACAGAAACAGCCACAGGTAATGTATGAATGAATGAGTGTGGCTCTTATCAACAAAACTTTATTTGCAAAAGCAGTCATGGTGGGCAGGATGTGGCCCCTGGGTTCGGTGGGCTGGCTCCTGTTCTGGAGGAAGGAGGGTGACTGTGTGTAAATGTAAAGAGAGGGTCAGAGTAGAACCGGCCCGCTACGGAGAGAGCGCTGACATCTTAGCCTGAGAGGAGAACGGAGGGGGGAGGAGAAAGGGCCAGGAGAAGCCCGGAGCAGGTGAAAATTTGCCAGGAATCAGTGCCTTCCAGGAGCGAACAGGCAGCGGCAAACACAGAGGTCAGCTGGGGTGAGGCTGCAGGAAGCAAAATTAGGACGAGGCACTGCCATCTCCAGAGCCATCAACAAAGCAACGGAGACAGCAGCCAGGTGTGGTGGGTAGGGCACTGGGTTAAAGGCTAGACAGTGACTGGGGGGGTCGGGGTGGAGATGGCAGGGCAAGGCCAGCGTGGGCGGTGGATAATGGGGTTCAGGGGGGAGACTAAGGCCCCCAGGCAGATGGAGATCCCTGAACCACCAGGGGAGACGCAGGGACCCAGGGGGCCAGTGCACTAGGAGAAAAGCGTTACCTCTCCCAGTGGCCACCACGTCCGGAGACACTGCGGCTAGCAGGGCTCGGAGCGGGGCTGCTCAGCACCTTACACCACCCAGGACAGCCCACAACCAAGACCATCCAAACCCAATGGCCAGACCGCCGAGGCTGACAGGAGGTGTGCTAATCATATACGGGGGGGAAGTCAAGGATGGAGCAGGGTGGGGACCCCAGGGGTTAGCCCAGTGACCTCTGTGAGTGAGCTGGCGGGAACTCGGGGCAGGTCTCCGGGAGAAGCAAAGGGTAGGAGCGGCCCAGGGAGGTGACTGGGCAGGAGGACGTTCTGATCCAGGGTCCGGAGCGCACGAGAGAAGACGCACCGGAAACACCTCATGCTGCCGTGAAGAGTTAGGGGGATCTGGAAGCAAGGGTTTTCCACCCCAATGAGCACTGGACCCCGCAAAGCTCTGTGGGTTTATACTGTGCTTCATCCCACACTGCCTTCCTTTCTCACTTGGCGATGGCGGGGCATTCTTGGGCCAGGGCCAGCCAACCCGAGGAGAACCAGAGAAGCCGTGGCCAGTTCAGCAAAGCAACAAGGGGTTCCACAGAAGATGAACTGGGGTGACAACTTTGAGAAAGAGCCCCTCATTCCTTAGCACGCCCAGTGATTTCCCTCCAGCCTCACCCAGCCAGAAGGCCCCACCGGCTAACATTAGAGAGTGATCTGTAGGGTTTCTCCCTGCCCCCAGCCACCAGGGGTATGCTCTCAGCCATCCCTTAGGGTTTTGTTAACCATTCCTGCGTGGCTGGGGGCAGAGGCTCTGTAGGAAACCAGTGCTCTGGCCTGGATGGGTGGCTCAGCTGGTTAAAGTGTCCGCCTGTGCACCAAAAGGTTGCAGGTTCACTCCCCGGTTGGGGCACATACAGGAGTCGACCAATTGATGTTTCCTTCTCACATCTCTATTTCTCTCTCTCTTCCCTGCCCCCTCCTCTCTCTCTCTAAATATCAATTTTAAAAACACACACAAACATATCCTCAGCTGAGGATTTAAAGAGAGAGAGAGAGAGAGAGAGAGAGAGAGAGAGAGAGAGAGAGAGAGAGAGAGAGAGAAACCAGTGCTCTGCAGACAGACTAGCTGGGGTTCTAATCCCAGCTCCGCTACCAGCTGGCTCTGTAACCTAATCAATTTCCTCTCCTTCTCGAAAAGGAATACTGAGCTCTATCTCATAGGGTTGTGATGAGGATTAACTGAAACGATATAGGCAAAGCATTTGCCGTGACTGTTAGTTCCGTATTGCCCGGAGATAAAGGAGTGCCCAGGACAGCGTAAGGACAGAAGCTAAATCAAGAACAAACATTTACCAAACACCTAAGGCCGTGGTCGGCAAACCGCGGCTCACGAGCCACATGCGGCTCTTTGGCCCCTTGAGTGTGGCTCTTCCACAACATACCATGGCCTGGGCGAGTCTATTTTGAAGAAGTGGCGTTAGAAGAAGTTTACGTTTAAATAATTTGGCTCTCAAAAGAAATTTCAATCGTTGTCCTGTTGACTACGGAGTTTGCTGCAGAAGAAACATAAAGCTCTGCCTGGTGGGAACTAATCCCGTAAAGAAGTGATAATGCCACCTACTGACCCTGGCAGCCCAGGCACCAACCCACACTTATCCCCAAAGCCGCGGGGAACAGAGAAGCAGGGACCACGGTGAAGGCGCGCACAGAAACAAGCCCTGGGTGGGTCGACAGTGTGTCCCCTACTTTCTCACAGGGACCCTTCTTGGAACGCCTGCCGAACACCAGGCGCTGATGGGCTCTGGGACACACCCTGTGCGATTGGCAGAGGTGCCCAGCAAGCCTGGTCTGCCAGCTCCAGAGCCTGGGTGCTCTCTCACACTCCTCATTCACCATCAGGGAACTCAGGAGCTTCTGTCCCTGTTCTCTCCAACCCCTTCCTCATCACAACCGGTTTCCTTTGGGCAAATCTGAAGGGAACCAAACGGATATTTTTAAAGCAGGGCCTCGGACATCAAGGTGCAACCCCCCAGCTGTATGCTCTTAAGTGATTCTTCGGTCCCACAGCCACCAAGTCCCGGTCTGATGCCCCAAGGAGGGACTGAGGCTGGGGGTCCTCAGTCTAGGGACAGCACAGGGACACCAGGGGGGCGCCGGTGGTCTGAGAGGCTCACCCGGTTAGAGGCCTCGTGGGCGCTGTAGGGGAAAGGTTATCAGGGAGAAATGGGACATCGGGCAGCGCACACAGAGGTTCGAGTCCTCCCTCTGGCACTGCCTTTGGGGCAGTAGGCTATGTCTCCTTCCCGAGCTGTCCCCTCCGCTGTGAAATGGGTGGACAGCGGCATGTACCGCCAGGGCCACGGGCAGGACCCGGGGAAATCAGACATGAGACATAAGCACAGTGGCCTGGGCAGCGATGCTAATTATAATAAAGCGTGGCAACAGCCGCCGCGGCGTCTGCCAGGACAACTGCGCTGTTGCCACGGCGCTGGAGTTTGCCTCCGGACATCTGGAAACACGAACACGAGCCAAAAGGGTAAACATGGACCCGCAGTCCCAGGTGGCCGCGGGCCTGGATCTCCAGAAGCGGGGGGGAGGTCGCCGTTCCCGGCCGGGCCGCCGCACCTCCCCGCGGGGACCCCAGGACCACCAGGGGTGCGCGCCGCGGGCGCCGCGGCTCCCAGGCGCCGGGACCGGGGACCCCGGACCAGGGCCCCGCTCCCCAAAGGCGCGGGCGGGGCGGGAGGGGGCCGCGGGGCGGCGCTGGGGGAAGGCTCCTCCGCCGGGGCCCGCGCGGGGGGCGCCGAGCCGCGAGCCCAGCGGCGGAGGCCAAGGTCAGCCCCGCGCCCCTCCCGGGAAGCCCGAGCCCCGCGGGCCGCTCCTTCGGGACCAGGGGACCCTCCCCGCCGCGCGGCGCCCCGAACCCGCCGCACTCACCCTCTCCGGGGAACGGGTGGCCCGCGGCGCCGGGCAGCAGCGCGCTCAGCGCCGCCAGCAGCAGCGGCAGCAGCGGCAGCAGCGGGGCCGCGGCCCCCCGCGCGCCCCCGGGGCCCATGGCCGCGCGGCCCGGCTCAGAGCGCGCCGCGCCGGGCCGCCGGGCTCATGCTCCCGGGGCCGCCGGCCCCGCGCCTCCTCTCCCCGCGGCGGCTCCTCGTCCGGCCCGGGGCTCCGGCGCGCGGCCTCGGCCGCTGGGAACGCGGCGGCGGCGCGGCCGGGCCGCGGGGCGATGGCGGACCTGGTCCCCGCGCTGCGCCCGGGCCCTCCTCTCGGCCCGAAGGCTCGGCCGGCGGTCGGGGCGCCGGGGCCGGGGCAGGCGGCGGAGGCGGCGGAGGCGGCCGGGCAGGCGGCCGGCGGAGCGGGACTGCTCGGCCCGTAAACAACGCCGCGCGTCAACGGGCCGTCAGGCGGCGAGAAAAGACGGCGCGGATCCAAGCTGGAAGGGACTTGGCGCCCGCGGAGAGGCCTTCGAAGGGTAGCGGGAGGCCGGGCCGAGGGCGGTGCCGCCCCTCCCTCCCGCCTCCCCCGCCCGGCTCCCGGCCCCGCGCCGCCGCTCGGCCCGCCCCGCGCGGGCGCCCCGTCCCGGCCGACCTGGGCCGCTGCCTCCGAGGCGGGGCGCCCAGAGGCCCGACGCGGGGAGGCCGGTCCCGCCGTTAACATTTGGCCGTAGTGTTCTTCGCGGCCTTGGGGGCGTTCCTTTTCATTTTTCACAGACTGCGCTAAAACCCATTTTTCTTGGTTACTTGGATTCCTGATACTCTTAACCGTTTCTCCCAGCCCAGCCGGCGAGTCCGGACCCAGAGCCCCTGCCCCTCCCGAGGCCCCGCCGCCCGCGAGGGCTCCCCCGGCGCCAGGCCCCCGAGGCCAGCCACGTGCCCTGCGCTCAGCGAGCTCCTGCCCCGGCCCCTCTGGGCGCCTGCGGCTCAGGGTGGAGAATGACAGCGGAAGAGTGTGCAGGCCTCGCCAGAGCGCAAACCAGGCTCTAGACATCCCGGGTGCCCCGCACACCCCTCACTCCAGCGTGACCTTGAACCACTGACTTCCCTCTCCCTGCGCTGGCCTCTCCTGCATGACGGATGTGACCATTAGCTGCCTGTCGGATCTGGTGAGTGGCAGGAGAATCCGAGCATGACAAGCCACCCAGTTCAGCTCTAGATCCAAGGCCTGCCTTCCCAGTCTGCCGGGAACTTGGCTGCTGTTCCTCTAAGCTAAGGCTCCAAACCTATTCCTGTCTCCAGGCCTTTGCCCCAGGTCCCCCGGCCTGTAGCTCCCGCTGCCCCGCTCCACCTCCGTTCCAGTGAGCCTTCCCTCAAATCCCCTCCCCAGCCCCTGTGTCCCCTTCCCTGTTGTGGACATAACACCAGTATCTCCGCCTAAAATGTTTGTTTGTTTGGTGTGTGTGTGTCCGCCCCTCTCCCCGTGCGGGCAGAAATCTTGTCCATCTTGTTCACTATGTTATACCCAGCCCCTGACACTTGTGTTCTTAACACATGTTTGTTGAGTAAAAGAACTAACAAGCAACAAATAATGGGGATTTACAGTAAGCAAAATTTCCTTGTAGATTCACAGTCTGGGCGGGGAGAGGGCCATTCATTAAAGAATCGAATGAGGGGAGTTGTTCCTCCAAGGAAGTGGTTTTGAACTGAAGAGAAGGAGTAACCAGCCAGTGGGAGCATCAGAGAGGTGCTCCAGGCAGGAGGAACAGCATGTGTGAAGGCCCAGAGGAGGGCAAACAGGTGTTCCTGCCGCTGAACCGGGCACTGTGGCCGGAGCACAAAGGGAGGGAGCTGAACTCCTGGGCGCTCTCTCTGAGCTGACTAGAAGGGGCAGAGCCTCAGACACACCTCTTTAAAACCCATGCCACCTTATCCTGAAAGAGTGGGGAGGCATTAGGAGGTTACACAAAAGCGTTAACATAATCAGCTTTTTGCCCACCATCTGCTAGAGGGCAAGAATGGACCATCAGAGGAGAAAAGAAGGTGACACAGTGCCAGAGGGTCGGGAAGCGTGCATTCCAAAATGCTGTGCCCTCCTTCTTGGGCAAACCTGCCCCGGGCAGTGGGCTTCCCTCTGACCACGGGAGCCCCAAAGCCCCACCACTCCGGGCAGGCGGTGGGCGCTGAAAGGGCATCAAAGGGACCATGCTGTCCCCTGCAAATCCTTCCTGGCACAGGACTTCCGCGTTGGGTACAAAGTCAATCATTTCCGCCCTGACTTGCTGGGGGGAAATTAAGACATCGCTTCCCAGAACCCCTCCTTGTTCCTTCTGGATGCCTCCCGCCACCCTCCGAAAAAGCAGGCATCTAGGAACTGACAGCCAACCTCTGCCTTTTATTAAAATCATTGGGATAGAAAAACCACCGCTTGGCAATCGCCAAAATAATGGGTTCAGGCAAGAGTCATCAACGAATGCTAAAGCTAGTGGTTGGAAGTTTAAGAAGTAACAGAATATTTCCATGGTCCTCTGAAAAAAAATATGTGTGAACAATAAAAGGGGAAAAAATGGTAGCTTCGTGGAGGAGAAAGCTGGCAGATACCCCTTAAATAAGGGATCAACGTTAGTCATGAATTCTTTTTTGAGTAAGAGACACAAAGGGGACGACTGAAGACCTTATATCAACATTAATTTTGATTATTGTGCTGAGGTGTCAGAGAATGTCCCTGGCTTTAGGAAATATACGTGAACGAAGTATGTAGGGGGAAGGGGGCATAATGTCAGCCACTTATTTCTAAATGTTTCAGAAAAAAATGAGACAGAGAGAGAGGACAAAGCAGAGGGGATGGAAGTATTTGTGCAGCTTCGCGGAGTCATCATGTCAACATTAAAAGCTTTAAAAAGTTTTGAAAAACCATGTGGGACTTTTTGTTTTGCTTGTTTTTCCTCGATTGCCTTTGGTTTGACACTTAGACACACTGTACTCTGAGGTATGGTCCAAAGAGAGAGAGGTGCTTCTGTTGCCGTGGAAACAGGGTCCTCTCAGAGTCAGGAGGAACGAGTTTCTGGGGACCCGAGCATAGGAAGCTGCGGTGTCGGGGTAAGATTTACTGGGACAGAAACAGAGCTGACCCCAGCCCCCCACTGTCCATCCCCATCCATCCTGCTGTGGGGAAAAGTCCAGCCTTGTCCTCATCAGGCCTAGAACCAAGGCCAGTGTCCAAAACTCTGCGCCATGCCAAGGCCAGCCTCTGTCCTTGTCCTGGTTTGGTCTCTTCCCAGCTGCACTCCAGCTGCCATGCATCTGCACGGAGCCTGCATTTGGAGTCACGCAGCTGCTAGTGTGAGCTGCTAAGGCTGCATGGATGCTATGGCGAGAATACATGTGAACAAATGGGGCAAGAGTATGTTATGGGGAGGGAGGAGAAGGGGTGGGGGAGAGAGAGAGAGAGAGAGAGAGAGAGAGAGAGAGAGAGAGAGAGAGAGAGAGAGAGAGGCGCTTTGTAAAGCTTGGATTATATTATGTCGGGTTTGAAAAGGAATAGGTGGTTTTTCAAACTAACTGATCAATTTCCCAGTCCTTCTGGGTTAGGTTTTGGTCCTCCCCACAATCAATCCATTTCCTAGTTTTCAGGGGTTCTGCGTCCCTACCCAGTCCTGTCCTTTCTCCAGGCTCAGGTCTGCCCCCTTATGGTGCCATCTTGGTTCCTCTGCACATGCCTCGTAGTAGACACGCTCCCCTGTGCCATCTTAGCTTCTATTGGGCATGTGCCCAGCACAGCAATTTCCCTTTTATTTCTCCCCAACTCCTCTCCCCGCCCCCTCCCCCCCTAGTCTGGGCAAATGGACCAGCTGAACATTGGGGAGACCGAAAAACTGGCTCTTCCTCTGCATGGGGGGAAGGGAGGGCACTGATCCCCTAGAATTCCCTGTGGGGAGCTCCTGCGTGCGGCAGCTTCCTGGTGAAGCGGGCTCACTGTCACCTCAGCTCCCAGGAGTTGGGCATGGCAATGCCTGACTCCCTTTCTTCCTTTCTTAGCTAATAGTGAGCGGCCTGTGCTAACAATTTCATGTTCATGGACATCAACCCCTGACCCCTGCTTTTGTTTCTCTCCATCAAGCAGAGCCTGGGGAGACTCCACCACCACCTCTGGGTCTTTCTTTAGCAGGTCCCTTTGGCTCCACGTCCCTCCCTCCAGCTGCTCTGCATTCATTAAAGCAGGAAAGGTAACGTAAATCCTAACTCCTGTGTTGTCAGGGAAATTTGTTTTAATACATTACATGTGAATAATAATGCAAAAACCCAATGTCAAGACTTTACAGCAGCCCTAGCTGGTTTGGCTCAGTGGATTGAGCATAGACCTGAGGACTGAAGGGTCCTAGGTTGGATTCTGATCAAGGGCACATGTCTGGGTTGTGGGCTCGATCCCCAGTAGTGGACATTGAAAAAAAAAATTCGCAACACAACCAGGCAGAAGATTAAAAGAACACAACACATGCCTTACCTGATTTGGCTCAGTGGATAGAGTGTCCACTTGCAGACTGAAGTTCAATTTTTTTTTCTTCTTTTTAAAGATTGTCTTTTTTTTAAATACATTTTATTGATTTTTTACAGAAAGGAAGGGAAAGGGATAGAGAGTTAGAAACATCAATCAGCTGTCTCTTGCACACTTCTACTGGGGAAGTGCCCGCAACCAAGGTCCATGCCCTTGACCAGAATTGAACCTGGGACCTTTCAGTCCACAGGCCGATGCTCTATGCACTGAGCCAAACCAGTTAGGGCCCCAGGTTCAGTTCTGGCATGTGCCCAGGGTTGTGGGCTACACCCCCAATGGGGGGATGCAGGAAGCAGCTGATCAATGATTCTCTCTCATTATTGATGTTTCTATCTCTCTTTCCCTTTCCTCTATAAATCAATAAAAATATATTTTTAAAAAGAAGGAGAAGGAGAAGGAGAAGGAGAAGGAGAAGAAGAAAGAAACACAACTCAGACCAGGAGGGCAAAGATGGTTCAATGCCAGGAAGTCTAGTCATTGAGATCCCTCGACTTATAAGCTGAAGGACAGAAGGCTCAGAGGCATGTTCCTACCATTAAAAATTTATTTGATGGCCCTGGCTGGGTG